ACTATCTACAGTATATAAATACTGATGCTGTACTCAAAAGCACCATCATTTTTTATTGCCTTGGTAATGGAGTGTTCCAGAGAGACATATATATGGATGATTAGGGATTGGTGGATTCTATTCGGGTATTTTCAAATATTAAAGAGCAACCTTGATCACTAGTGGTTGGAGAAATCTAAGAGTAGCTGATCCTTCCTAAGAAAACAAATTAGAGGGTCAAACTCTGATAATGATTCATTATAAATTGTAGGTAATGATAGGAATATCAACAAGTACACTTCAAATACAGTGGGTAAAAACACAGGCTGATACTAATAATTCTAATAATATTAGGGCATCCTATGAAGACTTATAATGTAGTTTTTACTCATAATAGCAGTTTATAAATAATGGGGGAAATTGGGGAATTGGATCTTTTTCAATGTTATTTTAATGATATTTTAATTCAAGATGATAGGGTACTCTTATTGATAGTAAAGTTTTTGAAATGTGAGATTAGTCAATGGCAGGGTAAGTTTAAGAGACACTTGGAGATTTGGAGAGCTAAAACTTCAACCAGAGGAAGTGAAGCATGTGCATGGGTAGAGAATCAGAAGAGAATCATACTAATGAGCCTAAGACATAGTAGGTTTTGACCTAATTCTTATTCACAATGATGTTTCCATGTTTTTGCTTTTGCACTGAACCAGTTTTTGCAAAATGTGAGTATCTGGGGCTGGAGGACGTTTCAGAGAAACTCTGAAATGGGTGGATCTGTTCTAAGAGTTGAGTAAGGCTTGTGAGTCATGGTGCAACTCCCTGAAACTTGGTGAGGTCAAGCTGACCTTTGGGACATGCCGGCTGTATATCTTCTTTATCTCTGTTATACACTGATAAAAGCTGGTCATGACTTGTTCATTTGAAGGGTCATTTTTGGTATCATCTGAGCAGAAAATTCCTTTGGATCTTCATTTTTGTTCAGAGATGCCACATTCTCTAGCCAATTTCTCATAATGTATGGAAATTGTGATTCCCGATAAATTATTATTAATATTAGAAGAAGGTAGCCCTTGACCCACTACCAATGTTTCAAGCTTTGGCAACTCTGTGGTAATTCCTAAAATCTCAGTTGTAGTCAAGATATATATGCCAAATACGTTGAATATTCTTTGTAGATAATTAAGTTTTCCAATACTGGCAAAATAAAATGTATCATTTCCCCAAATTTCAAAGAGTACACTGAGTTTTGGGCACTGTTGAGAATAAAGTAGAGGTATTTCATACATGTGAATATAAGGTCACTGTAGAAACTGCCTCTAAATCACTGTACAATTTTTGGGTACCTCACCTGGAGAATAGTTACAATCTATGCAGATCACTGCTGGCATCTTTGCTGTGGGAACTAAATTCCCTTTAACATGTAGTTATACTTCCATTAATAAAGAATTGGGATGGCACATATGGTTTGCCTAGAGCTGGTTGTTTCATTACTTCCTTTCTTTCTTTCTTTCTTTTTTTTTTTTTTTTTTTTCAATGAGCCTTAAAGCTCTAATTTGCTTCAGCTGCTGTAAATTGGTTTCTGGTAATTTTCACATCTTCGTCTTGCATTGACATCATAAATATAAGGGCACATATTAAATCCTTAGTTATATTTGTGGGAACCCATGACCTGCCAGGACTAAAGTCTGTGTTAAAGATATCTCTAGGCATATTTCTCCTTGCATTATGCAAAGAAGTCAAGAAGGTCTAAGTAGGAATAAACATTGTCCAATCAGGAAGAGATCAGTTTCAGAGAAATAATTAGACTCTGTCTTATGCATTACCATGCGATTATGAAACAAACGATGCACCATGAAATGTCTTTATGTTATTTTCTAGAGTCCTGAGGGTACTAAAATGGCATGAAGGTAAAGAGAAGAGAGTAACTTCTTTGTTACTAGGGGGCAGAGTTGACTGTCAGTAAACCTGTGAATTAAGGGAGTATTTATTTTTTGGCATCCTCTTACTTCTTCTTTTAGTGCCCCATTTCTCTTTCAGAGTGTTCTCTTCTTTGCTTACAGCTACAATCAATTAAGTTCCACCAAGAGTAGCTGGGAGCGGTTTATATTGCCTTTTTGGAGGGCTTTTTTCTTGCAATTTAGTGAGAGAGTTTTGATGACAAAAAAAGTTCAAAATAGAAAAAAGAATGAATTTCTAATGGTGGAATTTCAAACTTCACACTTGACACTTAGATACAGAGAGCTACCTGTCAGAAGAAATCATTCTGATTACTACCTACTCCAAATGGGCTCTGCTTGGGTAAAGCTCCCCATGGGAGTGCAGCACAGATGCTTTGGAACTGGCATGCCTAAAGAGGGGACTGAAGAGTTTGTTTCTTCCATGCTGATCATGGCAGATCTTAGGTAGGGCCATCAGGTAACTTATCATGCAATTAATGAAAGCCTGGCTATCTTGGCCCACCTGGAAAAGGCTTTGAGGGCCATTGTAGACCCAGAGCCTCTTTGAGTCTGCTGAGGTAGGTTCGGTCCACATGACAACTTGACTTCTCCCTCTGCATATTTGTGCTTGCCATCTCTCTTCTCCAGGTGTTGCTACTGTGGGAACTCTGTAATCAACATGCTACATGTGAAACTCTATCCCAGAATGTGCTTCCTGTTAGTTTAGTTCCTGGAGAACTAAACTAACTATGGACAAGAAACTAATTTGCCTCCTCAGAAATCCTGTAGAGTTTTCCCAGTGGTGGTGGTGATGGTCTTAAAAGGGGACAGAGTGTGGGACAAAGGGAGGTGCTCAGGGCAGGCTTTCAATGGCTCAGAAAGAGCCCTCAGGAGAAAGAAGTGGGGATGATATGTAGCCCCTCTAGAAAATCCCCATGCCCTGGACCCACCCTGCCTAGGTTAAAAAAAAAAACTGGCTTTATCACTTATAAGTCTGGTTACCGGGCCAGTTACTTAATCTCTCAGTGCCTCAATTTCCTTATTAGTACAATGGAGATAAATAATAAAAATGATGATGGTATGAGACATAGATGACTTAAGATATATATATATAAAAGGCTGATAATGGTTCCTCATATATAGTAAGGGATAAGTAAAAGTGTTGATAATTAAACTTATTTTTCTGTAAGTGTTTGCACTGGGAAGAGTTTCACAGGAGAGCAATTTCTATTTTTTTATTTTCATATTTTTTAAAATTTAAAAAATATTTCACTTATTTATTTGAGAGGGAGAGAGAGAGAGACAGAGAGAGAGAGAGAGAGAGCGAGCACAAGAGCAGGGGAGGGAGAAGCAGGCTCCCCACTGAGCAGAGAGCCCAACATGGGGCTTGATCCCAAGACCTGAGCCAAAGGCAGATGCTTAATTGACTGACCTACCCACGTGCCCAGGAAAGCAATTTCTAGAGGGTAGTTGATTTTCTAAGTCACTTACAAATGTTACCATTGTTATTTAAATCAGTAAACTTTTAAAACATCTTATGAAGGTACAGTGTTGATAGCTTTGATGTTTTCCTCAAATGCTACCTCTACCTCTCAGTTACTGGTAGTGGTTTTAGGTTGAGTTAGACAGTCACCTGTGCTAGAAAAAGGTAAATTGATGAATGAAAATAGTATATTTTACTCCTAGTTCACTTAACTCATTTCAAAGGATTTAGGAGACTTGTGAATATATATTATTTTCTTTTTAAAAGCTGAAACCTATATTTTAATCAGACTTCCTTAGTTTTTACCCAGTGTCCTTTATGTGTTCTAGCATCCCATCCAGGATACCATATTACATTTAGTCATTATGTCTCAAGCTCTTCTTGGCTGTGACGGTTTCTCAGACTTGTCTTGTTTTCGGTGACTTTGATAGTTTTGAGGAGTGCTGTCAGGTATTGTGTAAACTGTCTCTCAGTTGAGATTTGTCTTTTGGTTTTCTTATAATTTGATTGGGGTCTCAACTCACCATCAACTCACCATCTCTCAGAGCATCATCTCAAAGATGTGTACTATTAACATGAATCTTCACTATTGATGTTGACCTTGGTCACCTGGCTGAGGTAGTGTTTATCAGTTCTTTCCATTGAAATGTTATTCTTTTGCCCACTTTCCAAACTCTATTCTTTGGCAGGAAGTTACTATGTATAACCCACACTTGAGAACGGCAGAGTTACACTTCATCTTCTTATGGATAGAATATCTACATAAATTATTTGGAAATTTTCTGCCTAGGAGATTTGTCTCTTCTCCCTCATTTATTTAGTCATTTATTTTTATCAATACAGATTCATGGGTATCTATTTTACCTTTTGGATTATAATCCAAATGTACTTCATTTATTTTGTTGCCTAAATTTTCTTTATTGTTTGAATATTTATTTATTTGTTTGTTTGTTTGGAGAGTGTGCAAGGTGGGGAGGAGCAGAGGGAGAAGGAGAGAGAAACTTCAGTAATCTGTGCTCAGCACAGAGCCTGACCCAGGGTTCCTTCCCATGACCTTGAGATCATGACCTGAGCTGAAACCAAGAGTCACTTAACTTAACTCACGTAATTCACTGAGCCACCCAGCTGTCCTTATTTATCTATTTGAGAGAGAGAGAGAGAGAGAAGCTTGCACAAACAGGGGCGGGGAAGGGCAGAGGGAGAGAGAGAATGCCAAGCAGACTCCTCACTAATTGAGAAGAGCCTAGTGTGGGCTCAAACTTACAACCTCGAGATCATACCTGAGCCAAAATCAAGAGTCCAAATTGTAACTGACTGAGCCACCCAGGTGCCCCTGTTTTTGTTTTGTTTTGGGGTGGTTTTTTTTTTTTTTTGCATTTTAAGGCAAAATTGTTTAAGTGGGACAGATGATTCATTTTCTCTGTGGCCTGGGGGTCTCAAAGAACCTAGATAGAGAAGGTAATGCATATCAGCAAGTTTCTATTTAATCTCTAGACAACTAGAATTTTTAAATAAAGAAGATAGCTTCTTTTAATTGGTAATATTTCTTAACTGAAGTAGAATTACTCACGGAATTATTTGTTTTCTCTCTTGTACAGCTTCAAGGTTTTGTCTCTTTGACTTCAATTGTGTTTGTAAGTAGCTTCCTTTGTATGCAGACATTTTTATTGTTTGGAAGAATTCAGTAGCTTAGGCCTCAGTAAATATTAGGGTAATAATTATGAAGTAGTATGATTGAGTTGGTTATCACCCAGGGGTGACTTTAAGTTCAATGTTAAGAGGGATGCTTATGCATTTGATTATGTTAGTACAATTAACTATGTTAAGCGGCTACTTTAGAAAGTGTATTATGAGGACTTCATTCTAGTCACAGTGGTGTGACAATTCCAACAGTCTTGAATGTTTGTGTATTCGTAATGAAGAAAATATGCGTATTTTTAAATGACCCAGGTAGTCACATGACCATTTTATCAATATCAATTTTTACTGCACACACACAAGATATGTAGAACGCCTTTCAAAGCTGGTCTTTATGAAAATATTTTAAACATGACAGACAAATATTCAAGGGTACTTAAAATGAAAGACATATTCATGGGTTTTTATTCATTTATTTAAAGATTTTATTTATCTGACAGAGAGAGGGAGAGAGGAAACACAAGCAGAGGGGGGTGGGAGAGGGATAAGCCGACTTCCTGCTGAGCAGGGAGCCCAACGAGGGGCTGGATCTCAGGACCCCAGGCTCATGACCTGAGCCGAAGGCACAGGCTTTAACCCACTGAGCCACACAGGCATCCCACATTTACATCTTTTGAGTGTCTAAGATATGCTAGGCATTCCTGGGGAACTTTGCAAATAAAATCTCTATGATAATTCTACCAAATTAGCATCATTGCCATTTCCTTCTCACAACTGAAGACAGCTGTCACTCAGAGAGCAAGTGCCTGGCCTTATTTCTTTTCTGTCAACACACCAAACTGGCTTCATCTCGGGACCCCTGGGCTCGTCTCTTTGCTTTGATTAATCTGCTCCATCCCAGCCTTTGCCCTGTGTCATTCAGATCTGCTTGTTGAGGTCCTCCCTGACTACCCAAATGTGCTATCCCACTGTAGCCTCCCTCCACTCACTCTGTACAGATTTAATGTTATTTAAAATTATTTTCTTCCTTTATTTGATTATTTTCTTCTCCCCACTGGAGGGAATTTAACTTAGAGGATTTTGCCTTCACCAAATTGGAACTGTAGTCTTGTTTCCCCCCCCACTGAAGTCCAGAGTAGGTGTATCATACATATTTGTTGGCTGAATTAACAGATAAATCCTATAGACCTAGTGAAGGCTAGAGCTGGGATTTGAATCCAAGTCTGTTTGGCTTCAGGGTCCATGTGCTTTCCGCTCTATTACTTTGTTTTCCAGCTGGGTCTAGTCTTTAATATCTGAATAAATATCAAATATCCAGGCCTGATCCATGATATTTGATCAAAAACACATTTAAGTTTTGGCAAATAATAGATTCTACTAAAAATAAAAGCCGATTGCTTCAAAGATCCCATAATATTATGCTTCTCTCTGCTGGTGAGGAAGTGACCCTAGTTAACAGGCAACTGTCATAATAATGTTAAATATTTGTTATATTTTTATAGACTTACCATACATTTCACAGACTCTGAGCACTTCAGAAAGTGATTCTTTGTTGATTAATTTGAAGTGTTGTAGAGATATAAAAGTAGAAAAAAAAAACTACTTTGTATTAAAAAAAAAAAAATCATTCACCATCCAGAGTTTTTCCATTTGGATTATCCTTCCCAATAGTTAGATGGAATTACTGAGGTTTCACTGAATCTCTAAACTCTTTTTCTCACCAACAGATGTGTACAAATGTCTCTTTTGGGGGGGTATGTAAAGCATCACGATTTCAGGAAATGAGGCCATGGTTGAGACATTTGAAAGAAAACAAAGTGTTGTGGAACAGCTGACTGCATAACTAAGAAATCAATCATGGCCCAGGCTGCTTTATTGGCATAATTGGCAATGATTTATAGAATGATGGCAGGGGTCCAAATGGGCATGTGTATCCTTAATACCATTATAGCATTCTGGCATGGATCTTCGTCAACACGACATAATTGGACTGGGGAAGAAGTTTTAGAGACACCTATTTAAATTAGCTAATAACCAGCAAGAAAATATTACCCAGGAATTTATTTTGTCAAATAGTGGGAACACTTAGGAGGTGATTTAATGAAGTCCTCAAACAAAATTGTGCCTATAACAAAGCAGAAAATATCTCTCAAGAGTTTGTGTAATATCTAGTGTTTTATATCTATCTGGTGTGATAATGCTTTATTAGCCAATATTGTCATATGAAAAAAGTTCTGTACAGAAAATAATTGTGTCCATTGAGCTCTGAGGACATGGGAAAGGACTTAGAGGCAGTGAGTGTGCCATTGGCCAACTGATAGATTTGGTTCATTTCAAAGGAGTAATGTAAGGTTTATTTACTGTGCTGCATCTTGTAACTTACTTGTTAAATTTATTCAGGAAAGATGGCTTTAGTGATTTTTCTGGAAACTAACTAGTGGGTTGTGAGAGATAATTAACAAAACTTCCTGTTTCTTCTCTTGGAACAGATGGATATTTTTGAAATGCAGCAGAACACTGAGCTCAGTTTGAGGGCATGCATAGTTGAGTTGCTTCTATTTGTATAATGAGGTGCTACTTGCCTGTATTCCAGAGGTCTACAGCCTTTTATCTGCAGAGTCATACAACTGGTTTCCACGGAACTAAGCAGCTAAATGTAGCAGCCAATATTGGCGTCAGAACCAGACTTTTAAGGACACTGCCCCAAAGCAGCGCTTTTTTTTCCCCCTCTTGTTTATTTTTCTACCTGATAAAACACATCTCGTCTACCTTATTATCCTAGCTATATGGGTGCCAGCATTTGAAAATGGCCTAGTTCTCTGGGTGGAACTTCCTGAAAGGGCAGATATGAAGCAAAGGTTCATTGCTTAAGTGTCAGAGTTTGGAATCTAGAATCAGTAAAATTCTTAAAAGACAGGGCAAGAGAGAGGGGCGGGGGAAGGACAGCCCATGCACAAAAATTTCCCTGTTTACTGAATATTCAGATGAGAACTGCTCCTAGTGGTTTTGGCAAATGTGGATCATTATAGCAGAAAGCAGGGGCTTTTAATGGCATTTTCATGTTTCTGATATATTTCTTAGACCCAAATGACCAATGTAGGTGTAAATTCTATTGACAACTCTTGAGAGAACATTGCATGTTTATCTATTTGGTCTTTATGAGGGGAGAATTTACCATGAAGCTAATAAAGCTTGGCCTTTTATTTGCAAGGACCCCTCCCAAATTCTTCCAACGAGGAAAGATAGGAATCTGTACTTAATTTTGTACTCAGTTTTCTTAAAGAGTCCCTTCCCTCCCCCAAAATGAATAAGGTTCACATCCACACAACCTAGATCAGCTCCTGTTTGGAAGAAGGAGGTAGAAAGGGCTTTCTTGTTTTTAGAAGATAAACGATGTCTCAGTAGTTTCTGTGGGAGAAGGAACATGGTTTGACTTAGCCCACTGTCTTTAACTTCACTTGATTGCAAATGAAAAACCCAGACGAAAGGATGGAGAAATGTAGAGGGAGCCATGAGACTACCATGAAATTTGATAGCTATTCAATTTTTTACTGTCTTTGAGCAAGAGAGATAAATAATGGGGGCTTATGAAAGCTGCTTTTGGTTGTAAATTTGGATGGTGAGCTCCTTGAGGGCAAGTTGAAATAAATCCTCAATTTGCATTTGAAGAGGTTGCTGAGCAGTTGTCTCCAACATCAATATTTAAAAGAAGCCATAGTGGCTCATTTAGATAGCTTGGGTCCTTAATTAACTAAAACAGAAGTAGAGCTTAAATTGCTTCAAGCCAAGTGATATATTTCCTGACTCGTGCACTATAATAAAGTTTAAGAATACACATTTTGGGTAAAATGCACATATAGTCCATTTTCTTCCTTACTCAAAAAAATGTGGATAGCATATTTATTATTTAAAGTCCATATACTTACTGTGATATTAAGCTCTAATATAACTTTTCAGTTTTATCTTCTACCACCCAGCATTCCTCCTATCCATGTTCCTTTCTCACCAGAACACACAGCACCTCCAAATATTCTGCTCTGTTGAGGTTGAATGCTTTCACTTCTTACCTGCCAAATACAGTATCTTACACACAGTAATCCTGTAATGAAAGCCTGTTACATTATTACTTCATCTATGGGAAAAAAAAAAAAAAACAAAAAAAAAAACAGCACTTGCTCCAGGCGAGCATGGAAGGATTTGCTCCTATACTGAGCATAATTTTGTATGCTTGTTTCAGGAAGAAGTCCATATTCTTTGATACACAATACCGGAAATAGTTTTGAATCTAGTCTTTGCTTCCTTCTCCAGTTTCATCTCTTACCATCTTTGTTAGTTGTTCATGACTTGTACTGCCTCCTGGCCTTGACACATATTGCTCAGAACACCTGGAATGTTTCTTTTACCCCATCTATTTCAACTTCCTTCCCTTGACTAATTTATTCTGGTCCTTTAAGGATCACTCAGCTCAGGGGTCACCTCCTCAGTCACCACATCTTACCCAGACTCCCCCCACCCCCCACCCACTGCCTCCATGGGGTTCACTCTTCCTTTTATATGCTTTTATGTCCTCTTATGGTTACTCTACAATAGCAATGATCACATTTTGTGGGGGGGGGGAAATTTGCTGTTTATTTAATTGTATTTCCTCATTAGACATAATAGTTCCTAAAGAGCATGATGTCTTATTTACTGTGGTATCCCTGGACAAAATATAGTGCTCAGCCCAAATATTTATAGAATAAATATATTCCAGTTATCTATAGACAACTAGTTATGAGAGTTATAGATATAGAGGAATGCATTTTGCTTACATATCCTTGAGTTCATTAGAAGAAGCTTGCTAAAGTGGAGAAGTGTTACTATATAGCACTTATACTGCCAAAAGTATAAGTTAGATGTCAAGAAAATTCTCCTACAAAGTGTAGGCACATATCCCTTCTATCTCTCCTGAGGAAGAAAAAAGCTGTATCCTGCTGTTACAACTCTTATAGTAATA